CATCATGAGGCAGATATTACCTTCCCAGCCAAGGAAGCCGAGGCCCAGAGAGGGCAAGCCCCTCCCAGACGCCACACAGCAGTGAGTGGTGGCCTGGGGGCTGGGGGCTGGAGCCTGGGCTGACCCCGCAATGCCCGTGTCCTGTTGTGTTCTGCTACCACCATCACCCAGACAGAAAGCCACTAGCCAGCTGTGGGCAATGAATAAAACTATTGAAAAAAAAGACCGTACCCTTTTATGTAATGATGTTTACTTTGAATTTATATTCGTTCACACAAACACTCCATCCATGCTTTTGTTCCGGCCCTCCGGTCCAGTTTAAGAACCCATTGTGGCCCTCGAGTCAAAAAGTTTGCCCACCCCTGCTCTAGACCCTCATTTTCCACACGGAAAAAGCAAAGACCAGAGAGAGCATGAGTCACTCAGCAAGTTGACGTTGGAGCCTGGACTTGAACCTGGGGCCCATGACTCCTGGTGCAGGCTGGTCCCAAGGAGGCCTGTTGGAGGAGCGGGAGTGGGAAGGGATTGGTTTGGGATGTGGGTGCAGCTCAGCACAGCAGTCCCTGGAGCTCCGGAGCCTTCTGCCCGGCGAGCACCCCACCTCTGCCACTTGGTGGCTGTGTGACCTTGGACAAGTCCCTTCCCTTCTCTGTGCCTCGGTTTCCTCATCTGGAAAATGGGCATAACCATGGCACCTACCGCACAGGTAACACTTGTCGAGGGCCCTAGAGCCACGCCTTTCACAGTCGGAATCGTCACCCACCAGACGCTCCTAACACGAAGCCCAACCAAGCCCAACTGATGTTATACCAACACGCTCCAAAGCACCGAGGCCTCCTGGCTGGGGACATCGTGTGTCCCCACCCTCACGGAAATGTGGCAGCATGCTTAGAGGGAGCGGGCAGGAAAGCTGGGGTTTTCTGAAAAGAAAGAGGGAAGCAGAAAGGTGCAGAGTTGGGGAGAACTGGCGGCTGCCTCCTCCTGAGTGGGAACGGCCCTGCCCAGCACTCACTTGGTGCCTCAGTGGACAGAGGCCCCCGGACGGCCCCCCGACTCGTTGTGTCATGAGAAGACACTTAGAGCCCGCGAAGGAACTGGACACAAACTGTCATAACAACAAGCAGCGCTCCTCCCACGCATGTTGACTGAGCACCTACTGTGTGCCGGTGGGAGCACTGCCGAGCCAGCGGGAACAAGGAGATAAACTCTACCCCGCCCTCCCGGAGCTGATGGACAACACAAAGCACACAGACAAGGGCCGTGAAGGTCAAGTCCACGGTGGCAGGTGCTAGAAGAAAAATCCAGCAGGAAATGTGTGGGGAGATCAATGCTGATTCCTGTGCTTGGAGAGAGCTCAGCACTGACATAAAGAAGTTTCTAGAAATAGCCTTGTGCCATCTGAGGGAAGAGCATTCCAGGCAGAGGAAAGGGCTGGTGCAAAAGCCCTGCGGCCAGTTTGCCTCCTTGGGGGCCAGTGTAGCAGGAGCTGGTGGCCACAGGTGGGGTGGGGCTGGGTGGAGAGGGAGCTGGGAGAAGCTGCAGTGAGCGGCTCTGACTCCAAGTGAGAGGAGGCTGTTGGAGGGGGCGCCCAGAGGAGGAGCAGGATCTGATCCCGGCTCCGGTGGGTGCAGGAGGCTGAGGGGGGATGGCCAAGGCTGGGAGGCAGCCGGCGGCAGCATAGCGCGCACGGGGGATGTGAGTGGCTCAGGAGGGCAGCGCGGAGGGGCCAGGCTCACACACCGGCAGAGACTGGGCACTTGCCCTGCACCATCCCACGGACCCTCACACCCTCACACCCGGGACAGGGGCTTCGGCTCGACCCCCTTCCACAGGGGAGCCAACAGGGGCTCTGGCCCAGCCACACTGCCGAAAGGAGGCAGAGCCTGGCCTTACACTCGAGAAATCCCATCCTTCACTCGATAGAACGGGCACCAGTGCACCATCACAGGGAAGAGAGAGGTCTAAGGTCCAGTCAGAGCGCCCAGCAGCTGCTCCTGCTCCCCGAGATGGCCTCCTCCTGGGCCCCCAACCCGCCTCCCTCCAGCCATCCTCCAAAGTCCGCCTTGCCCCACCGCCATCCATTCCTGCCACCATCTCCTCAGGATCAAGTCCAGCCTCACCTGTGCTCCCAGTTAGCACCCAACCGCCGCCACCCCATGTCCCTCCTCCAGCCCTACTCTGCTGCACTCCCCCAGACCGCCTGCACCCCCAGGCCGCCTGCACCCCAAGACCGCCTGCACCCCCAGGCCGCCTGCACCCCCAGACCGCCTGCACCCCAGGACGCCTGCACCCCCAGGCTGCCTGCACCCCAAGACGGCCTGCGCCCCCAGGCCGCCTGCACCCCCAGGCTGCCTGCACCCCAAGACCGCCTGCACCCCCAGGACGCCTGCACCCCCAGACCGCCTGCACCCCCAGGCCGCCTGCACCCCCAGGCCGCCTGCACCCCCAGGCTGCCTGCACCCCAAGACCGCCTGCACCCCCAGGACGCCTGCACCCCCAGGCTGCCTGCACCCCAAGACGGCCTGCGCCCCCAGGCCGCCTGCACCCCAAGACCGCCTGCACCCCCAGGCCGCCTGCACCCCCAGGCTGCCTGCACCCCAAGACCGCCTGCACCCCCGGGACGCCTGCACCCCCAGGCTGCCTGCACCCCAAGACCTCCTGCACCCCCAGGCTGCCTGTACCCCTAGGCCGCCTGCACCCCCAGGCCGCCAGTGTCTGCACCCACCCAGCCCTTCGAGCACCCAAACCGGGGAGAACGCCATCTGCGTGCAGCGCCGGGGAGTCCTGTGGCGGCCACACCTGCCTTTCCCCTCTTTGTGAAGGAGGCCCATGCTCCTGCCTGGAGGAAGAGGGGTCGCTCTGGGGTCTGGCAATCCTGTGGTTTAGGACCGGCTGGCGTCCCCTGTGAGCGCCGTGGGGGTTCAGTGTGGGGAAAAGCTTATTAGTTTCCCCCGTGGCTGCCCAGAACGGGGAGGGCACAGGAAGAAATTACCGACCAGGCATTTGAGAGGAAGGAACATTTAGCAGCTGCTTCTCACAGACAGGCTGGGATGTCATGGTCGGTGTTTTCATTCTGGTGAAGGTAAAATTCCTTGTAGTTTCTTGGGCCGGAGGGAAGTTGGTCCTCAATGTTCTCAGGGGTGGGGAAAGGGGGGGGGGGGACAGGGTTTGGGGAGAGGGGAGGATTGCTGGGGCATTTTTTCCTCTTCAAGTAAAAAATAAATTAGAAATGGTCACAGAACCCAGAAGAAAGGTCGTCATAGCAACAAAAGTTTGGGGCCAGGTACTTCCTGACACGGCTTCAGGACCACAGCGGTGGAGGGGCAGGATGTGGGCGCTGTGGACCAGCCGGGAACCCGTCCAAGCTGGCTCGGCCCCGCCACGTTTCTCACCAGCACTGACAGGCTGATAACTATTTTCCAGGCTCTTGGGAAGGAAAATTGTGATTTTCTGGGAGGGGTGATCTCTCGCCAACTGTGATGAAGGGAAAAGAAAAAATGGTGGGGTTTGTTTATTTGCCCAACAAACTAACCATTCATGATTTTACTGAAGACCAGGAGTGAACCCCCCACATCACCCCCTTCTCCGACCCCCAACTGTACTATTATCTTTCCTTTCCACTTCCTCCGGATTCCTCTCTGCCCCAAGAAGAGGATTCAGGCCCCGGGCCAGCAGTGCGGCCTGGACCGAAACCTCTCTGAGCCTCGGACTCCTTATCTGAAAAATGGGCACCGCAGATGCGCCCGCCTCACGGGTATTGGCAAGCGTTCAACAAGATGCAGCAGGTGAGCAGCTCTCGCTGCGCCTGGGCACGCTCGGGGCTCCGTAAATAGAAGCGAACGTGGTTTTTAAATGTGGCTCCGTTAATATTTTTTAAACACTCAGGCTTAAGTATCCTGTGTCAAGCCCTAAGACAAGCTACATGGCTGAGCCACAGGGGAATGAACGCCTGCAAGGGTTTGGACTGTGGTCACCAGGCAGAGGCTGCGAGAGACCTCAAACAATGAAAGGCTCCGCTGGCGGCCAGGACCAGGACATCCGTGGGGGCAGGGGCAGGGGCAGGGCAGGGGCGGGACACAGGGTTGTGTACAAGGGAGGAGAAGCCTTTGGGAGGTGGAGTGATGGCCGGGGCAGACCTCCCACACCTTGGAAACCGGGCCCTGAGCTCAGAGAAAGGTGTGTGGGGACACCCACGGCAGAGAGTGCAGATGAGGACGGCACTCGCGAGGCCTCCGAGGGAAACGCGGGGTTGGGCTGGTTGGAAGGCACGGATGCCTTTTGAGGTTCTATCATTATTATTATTATTATCATCATCATCATCATCATTATTAAATCCCAGAGTAAAACTTCAAGACGTGCGTGCACAGCAGAAGTGAGTCTGATGGGGTGAAGCTGGTCAGGGGCCGGGCTCTTCTCAAACACTGAACGTCTTTGGCAAACAGCCAGCATCAAGCAGGGCACCCCCACAGGTGAGACAGAGCAGGCGGCCCCTGGAGAGCCCTCTGGTTCGTCAACCCCGGCCTCACCCAGCAGCATCCTGCAAACCGGCCTTAAGAACTCCTGTGCACCACACCCTACCCGGGGGGACATCCTGTAGGGACAGGGACAAGAAGGTGGTGAGCAAAGGCAGGCCCCCAACAATTTCAAGTGGTGCCAAGTGTGATGAGGGCGACAGCGCTGGCGATGAGATACAAAGACCGGCATCCAGAGGCCTTCTCTCCAGAGGACCCTGCCTCCCGGGCAGGCCAGCAAGTCCCCTGGGCCTGAGGGAGCAGCAGGGGAGAGGGGGGAAGCGGTTCCAGGCAGGGGGAGCAGCCTCCTTTCCTTTCCTACACCTCTTCCCGCTGACCTGTAACCAAGTAGGCCAACGGCTTCTGCAGGACAAACTACTGGCCATGGCCCCAGTGCATCCACACTGAGTCACATGTGACACCATGTCCACGCAGAAGAGCAACGCCTGCGAGGAGGAGCTGTAACCTTGGGGAGAGAGGTCAACTCACTGCGGAGTTCCCCCGCCTGGGACTGGACGGTGCAGGGTGGTGTGGACTGGCGTCCGGCACGCCGCGCGGATGGACAGCGCTCCCTGGAGCCGCCTCGCCTCCGGCGGCCTGGGGCACGCACCTGGCCGGCTGCGTCCGCGCCCAGGAGGGGTATGAGGCCGTGGGAGCGGCTTGATCTGCCTTCTGAAAAGTCACACACACCCCAGTTCCGACGGAGCCGCACCCCCGCCCCGCTTTCTCAGCTGCCTTCTTTCCCTCCCGCGACACGAGGGCCCACGCGGCTGCCCCACGCCCCACGCCCCACGCCCGTGCTCCCAGTCCCGTCTGCGAGCTGTTAGTGCGGCTGGAAACGGGGTAGAAGGACTCCCCAGTCTCCAGGCTCCCTGGATGCGGTGGGAGAGGCGGCTCCCAGCCACAGTCCCCGCACCCTCCCCGGGCGGCTGGATGGGGCGGGAGGGAGGCACCCAGCGCCCCGCGGAAGAAGGGGGGCTAGCGGGGAGAGTTCTGGCGCGGAAAGGAGCCGCGTCCCTGCGACCCGCCGCCGGGTGGGTCCTCGGGGAGACGCGCCTCCCTAGGGCGCGGCAACGTCCCCGAAGCCGCCCGGCGCCCCGAAGCCCGGGGCGCTCGGCCCAAACCCTGCCACGGAGGGGCGTCCCGAACACCAGCCTCCTCCCCCCTCCGGCCCGGCGCGCGCTCCCCGCAGGGGGCGTGGGGCCGAGCTCTGCGCAGCGCCGGCCACCGGTGCGGGTCCCTCGCCGCCGGAGCGGGGAGCGGGGAGCGGGGAGCGGGGAGCGGGGAGCGGGGAGCGGGGAGCGGGAAGCGGGGAGCGGGGAGCGCGGCCGGGACCCGCGTCTCCGGGCCGCGCGGCGGGGAGCCGGGCGCCGCGCACTCACCGCGCCCGCCGAGCTCCTCCTCGCACGAGTACCAGATGCCGGTGTGGAAATTCCTGAAGAGGAAGCGGTCGTCGCCCGTCTCCCAGCTGTAGAGCTCGCCGCCGGGGGGGCCGTTCCCCGCGGCGGCGGGGGCGGCGGTGCCGTTGGCCGTGGCGTTGGCGCCCGAGTTGGGGCAGTTGGCGCGCCCGCCCTGGCCGCAGCCCGGCTTGGGCACCCGCTGCGTGCCCTGGCACCAGTGCGTGGTGAGGAAGGCGGTGGTGGCGAAGAGCAGCGCCAGCAGGTTCAGGGCCACGGCCACGAGCGCCCGGCCGCGGCGGCTCGTCTTCATGCCGCCCGCGCCGCCGGGAGCTCAGCGCGCGAAGTTGGCAGCCGGCGCCCCGCGTCAGCGGCCGCTGCCCGCCGCGCCCGGGGGCTGGGGCGCCTGCGATCGGCGGCGGCGGACGCGGCGGGGGCCCATGCCCCCCCGCCCGAGTGGGGGCGCGGCGCGGGGGACGCGGGGGGCGGGCGGCGCGGCGGAGAGGCTCGGCGCGCCCGGAGCCCGGAGCGTGAGTGCACCTCGGCGCGGAGTCGCCGGTGCCTGGCAGCGGCCGCGGCGCAGGGACGCGCGCCCCTCCGTGGGGAGACACCTGCAGGCGGCTGGCGACACTTCAGCGCCCGCCCTCGCGGGAGAGGGAGCGCCCCACGCCGGGCGCGGGCGGGGGACCGGGCGAGCAGAGCGGAGGGTCTGAGAAGCAGGAGAACGCCAGACGAGGGGCTGTGGGAGAAAGAGGCTTCCCGGGGGACGCGGAGCACCAAAACCGGAGGGAGGGGTCACCCTCGCAGACCCAGAAAGGCCCTGCCGGCGGGAGACAAGGGCAGCGCCCGCTGGGGGTCCCCACGAGGGATATGGAGCAGGACCCCCTCCGGGAAGTAGACCCAAAGGGCCTGAGTTGCCGTTTGCCAGGCTTCCCACAGCCGGGAGCTGCGGGACCCCCTGGAGGGAGGCCTTATGCTGGTCCCGAGTTGCTGGCCGCTCAGGAGGGTGTCCCCGCAGGAATGCAATGTTGCAGAGTCCTAGGGCCGCGCTTCCCCTGGGGCTGCCAGCGGGGCCTGAGCGTGTGGACCAAGAGGAAGGGCTCCTCGGGCAGGACAAAGCTGTCAGCTGGGGTCCCTGGCGTGTGTGGAACAGCGGGAAGGGTGGCAAAGAGGTGCCCCGCACAGGATGCCACAGGTTGGGTATGATGAATGGGACTCCCCCACACAGGCCATCCCCACCTGCGATCCTGAGCCGCATGACCCAAGGAGGTCCCTTCTGGACAAAAAGTTGTAGTTACCAGCAGATGCCCCGTTGCTGGGGTGGGGACAAAATGGTCAAGATTACTGACTTTGGGGTCAGGCAAATTCAGGGCTTGACCAGCCGTGGGTTGTGAACAAGTCACTTAACTTCTTGGAGATCTCACACAGGTGTGCCATCTCCATAAGAAGGAGGCTCTTGCTGCTGAAATGAGATCGCGCCTGTGAAAAGCACTTGGCACATAGTAGGTGCTTAATAAATGCTACTTATTACCGTATGAACCGAGAGCAGTTGATCAAGCTCACACAAGCCTTTTCAGATCTCTAGCGTGAAGCGGGGTTGCCCAACCGGGAGTGCCCCGCCCACCCCTCTGCTCTAACAGACCAGGTCCCCGAGCTTGCCTCCACACTGCGCCACACCTGGTGCCAGGGTGCCCCGGGTGTGCGGCCATTGATTGCAAGAGCCCATCTGGATTCTGCCTGAGCCGAGAACTGCTCCAAGAAGCCACAGCGTGCGCAGCGGCAGGCTTGTGGACCTCAAGGTGAAAGGACTGTGCATTGCCTCACCCTGGTGGGTGAGCCTGCGTTCCCTGCCAGCTGCTGCTGCTCTGCCTGGGGGAAGGTGAGAGTAACTGTGGGCAGGCGGGAACCGCATGAAGGGTGGCCAGGGGTCTCCGGACTTGCTTATCAGGTCCCTTTCCTGGCCCCAGGCAAGGGGTTCCCAGCTATTTTGAGAAGGTTAGTAATAAGGGCGGGAAGGGTACTGGTTGACAGAGAGAATATCTTCTGGCCAAACAGCTACAAGGAATTCAGTGACACTTTTGCAGGGCGTGCAATATTTTTCATAGGCGTCTCTGTACTTGCAAACCAGTCCCTCCGATGTGGGCTGTGGTTGGTGTGTACCTGGGCAACACCCACAAGCTGGGAGCCCTGTCCTGTGTGTCCAACGCCCAAGTGAAATATGTCCCAGGGCCACACGCTCTCAAAAAATACCCAGAAGACAGAGGGAGGGGGTGAAATTTCCATCTGACACTTTTTCACTCGTTGACCCATCCACTAGAATCTCGGCACTGGAGAGAAGAGAGAACACAAACAACGTTAATCGAGTATAATGGTGTTAAGGGTCAGGGAGGAGAATAAAGCAGTGAAGGAGGCGGGTTGTTATTTTAAAACCGGTTTCAAGGAGAACTCACGGAGGCGGTGACATTGGAGCAGAGACTTGAAGGAGGCTGGGAGCAAGCCATAGGGACTTCCCAGGAAAGGAGCTTCCAGGAAGAGGAAAGGCGCAGCAGTGCAAAGGCCCTGAGGTGGGAGGTAACTGAGAGCGGGGGCAGGGGGAGAGTAGCAGAAGGTGAGATTGGAGAGGTGATGGGGGAAGGGCAGGTCATGGCCATCGCCAAGGATTCCGGCATTTACTCTCGGTGCGGGGAAGCCTGGGGCTTCTGAGCGGAGGGAGACATGATCTGACATAGGGTAACAGGACCACGCTAGCGGCCAGGTTAAGAAGGGTGGCGACACAGAGACAAGCGAAGGGCAGGGAGTGAATTGGGCAAGACCAGAGGAATGACAATGGCAGCGGAGGTTCTGGGCCCATTTTAAAGGCAAATCCAGCAGGATTTGTTCCAGGATCAAACCTGGGGTGTGAAACACGACCTTGAAGTGCGGGGCAGGAGCTCCTCAAGGACAGAACTGCCGTTTGCTAAGCCAGAAGGCCTTGGAGGAACAGCTCGGGTGCAGGGAGGGTCACACGTCCTGACAGGTTTTGTGCTGGGCCTTGGACTCAGGCCCAAGGTAAGGACAGGGCTGGAGATCTTGCCCCTGGAGGGAACCCCTCCATGTATCCACACTAATGAACCCAGACTCGTTAGCCTGGGGTATTTTTATCTTCAAATTAGCCATATCGTTGGAAATTACTCATGACGCTCGTTAAAGGCAGGAAGTGGACTCGATCCAAAGGACCTCTGCAGGCGAGTTTGCCGTGGGGGAGAGAGGAGGGATCGACGCTGAGTGCAGGGCAAGGGGGGGTTTACCGCCCAGGAACAGGTTGGGACAGTGATGGAAAACCACCAGGAGGCAACATCAGCACCAGCAAAGGAGGCTTCTGGCTAAGCCCACCTGACGGGACTCTTGCTGACAGCAGCCCAGAGGGGATCAGACATTGAAAGTGGGAGATGAGGCCCTGGCCTGTGTTGCTCAATGGTTAGAGAGTCCACCCGCACACTGAAGTGTCGCAGGTTCGATTCCCAGTCAAGAGGGTTGCAGGTTCAATCCCTGGCCCAGGGTCGGGGTGCATGTGGGAGGCAGCCAATAGATGTATCGATGTGTCTCTCTCCTCTCTCTCTCTCTCTCCCTCTCTCCCTCTTCCTCTCCCTCGCCTTCTTCCCCTCCCCCTCCCTCCCTTCCACTCTCTAAAAATAATAATAGAAAATAATATCCTCTGGTGAGGATTAACAACAACAAAAGTGTGGGAGAGGAGGAATCTGATTGGGTTTCAAGGGGGAGAGATCCTCACTACACTAACTCAGTAGGATTCTTGCTAAAACTGGGCCAGGTGGACCAAGGGTCGGGCCTGGTTGAGAAGAGGGCTCAGAGGGGCCTGGAGAGACTTTGTTAGGGGCTGATGGGGGTGGGGTTTGTTTAGGAGGCCAGACATGGAGGCTCACACACAGGTTTCCTGCTCCTTAGCCAGTGTCAATGAGCCAAGGCCTCCTGTCTCCTGCTACCCCAGCTGCTTCTGCCCGGCTCTCCTCCCCTGCACTGGGGGCCAGAGACCAGCCCAACGAGCCTCTGCTCACCCTCCTCCAGGCACACCCATCACCTGCCCAGACCCAGTCTAACTGTGGCTCCAGGTCCTACAAGACTAGCTCTGCACATCGGCAGCCCCTTGCCCGCCCCTCCCACGACCACCGCCACACCAAGCCTCTTTGCACCCTGCCCGCTCCAGCTCAGCGGGGACCTCCAGGCTTCCGCCTGCCTTCCTCCCTCTGCCTGGAGTGCCCTGCTCTGCCCAGCGTGTGCCCTCAGAGTGCTATTAAACACACTCCCCTGCAGAGCCCCACCCCTGCCCACCCCCCCCCCACCGCCCCCAGCCCTGATGACTGTGTTCACACCTGTCTCCCTCACCAGCCTGGGCCCCTCCAGGTCATCCCGCTGGCAGCCTGCGGCCATGTTTGGCCCATACGCAATTTTTCTTTGGCCTGGATGGGGTTGGCCTCCACCATGTTTTAAATTTTCATGTTCAATAATCATGAGCTTTCACGTAAAAAGCTAGACTTCTAGCTCCTCTTGCAAGATCAAATTACCTGCCAACACTGGGCCTGTGTGCCTGCCTGGCCAGCATTGGGGGCAAGAGGGGCCACAGGCCCACTGGGCCCTCTTCTCGTTACAGGCCCTGCCAGGCCCTGGGGGCATTTGGATCTGAGAACCTGGGGTCAAGTGGTGCTCAAAGCCAAGTCGGGATGATGGTTACACCTGGGGGGGGGGTGCCTGTGGGGGAGGCGGGGCCTGGGCGGGCCTGGGGGGAGCCTGTGGGGGGTGCCTGGGGGGGACTCCCCCACTGCTCACAGTTGCCTTCAGCCCAGGAAAACTCATCGAGCTGTACTGTTGGGAATCTCGAACTTTTTATAGCCAACAAAATTTACCTGAAATAATGCAATTCCATCTTTTCAGGAACTATGAGTAAGCTTTGAAGGGACATGGCCCAAATGCATTTCCCTTTCCACTTGGAATCGGCTGCTGCAAGGACATGCGCTGGCCCTGGGCCTCCTGCGTCACTTGCTGTTTCCCGAACCTCCAAAACGGGGCTTGGGCGGCATCCCGGCCTCCCGCCTCCCTAATTCCAGCGAGGGATTGGCCCTTTCCAATTACCGGCGAAGTTTCTAAACACTCGCTCCTAATTCCCACTCTACTCCCTGGCTCAGACCCACTCCGGGCTTGGGTGGGAGCCAGCCTCGGGCGCTGGTGTCGGAGTGCAGGCCAGCTTCCCCGGTGGGTGCGGGGAGGGGTCCGGAGCTCCTGCCGTCAAGGAAGGCCCCGGGGTGGCTTCTCCGGAGGAGAAGGGAACAACGTTGCCTCCACTTGTTCTCTGAAACTGCCTCAGCCCCTCCAGCTGTTGAAGAAGAATTCAGCGGCCCGGCTCCGCCAGGCATTGGGTGAACGAGCCAAACCGAGTCGCTGCCTGCACTCGGGTCATTGCAGTGGTGACACAGGACCAGGGTGGAGGAAAGGACCAGGATGCTAGCGGGAGCAGCCAGCTGCTCGAGCTGGGAAGAGTTCGATGTCCCAGAGTGAGGGTGGAAGGTCCGACTTTTAATCCTGGCTCTGCCACAGCT